CAATGTTAAATACTACATTAGGATCAAACATTGTATTTGTTAAAATTAGTTAATGCACTGTGAACTAATATGAACAAAATTGACTAACATTAACAAAGGTTAATAAATGCTGTAAAATACAGTATTGTTTACTGTTAGTTCATTTTAGCTAATGCATTAACTAATGTTAACAAATGAGATCTTATTGTAAAGTGTTACTGCAGATCCTTTTGAATCCAAAAGTCTGATGTATGTGCATGATGCATGTGTGTGTATGTTTACTCCAATACAGGCTCGTATCAGGATGATTTTGGCCTACCTCTTTGCCCAGCTGTATCTGTGGGCTCAGGGAAAACCTGGTGGTCTCTTAGTTCTTGGTTCAGCAAACGTGGATGAGAGGTGTGTCTTTATGTTGTTCTTTCTTTCAGTATCCAACTGTCAATAGTAATGAAGGTTGCTTAAAAGAAAGTATTCTTTGTCTTTGCAGCTTGACTGGATACTTCACAAAGTACGACTGCTCCAGTGCTGATATCAATCCCATTGGAGGTGTTAGTAAGATGGACCTGAAGTGCTTTTTGCAGTACTGTGTAAAACGCTTCCATCTCGCTGCCCTCATAAGGTGTGTAATCCTTCCTTTTGGTGCACATTTGCTGATCAAATAACTGATGTAGTTACATAATCTTGATTGTTTTGGCCAACAAAACTGAAAAAATCACATTGAGTGAAAATTAAAAGAGGGACAGTTTAAGGGGAGGCAGACCACTCATAGAAAAATGAATGGGGGAAATGCTTTTTTCTTAACTAATATGCATGGCCAGCCTGAAAAACACAGTGTTTAGGCATGATAAAAAAGAGAAATACATTTGTGTGTGTGTGTGTGTGTGTGTGTGTGTGAGTGCTGCATTTATCTGATCAAAAATACAGTATAAACAGTAATATTACAAAATTGTATAGTTTAAAATAGCTGTTTTCTATTTGAATACATTTACGATTAGGATTACAATCCTGTGATGGCAACACTGATTTTTCAGTAGTGATTACTCCAGTTTTCAGTGTCGCATGATCCTTCAGAAATCATTCTAATATGCTGATTTGGTACCCATCTTCTGTACAGCATTTTGGATGCTCCACCAACTGCAGAGCTTGAGCCACTGACTGATGGCAAGATCGTCCAGACTGATGAGGTAAACATAGTCAACCTCATTCACTGATAAAAATGAGGTCTTGAATAATACTGCATTTATAAGTCATTGTAATTGATTGAGACGGGATGTGCAATGGACTGTGCACAACTGTGTGTGGCAATAGTTGTCCAGTACTGTCTGACATATATTTAAACTGGCTAATATACTGTTTGACAGCCATATGACTCCTGCAGTAGGCTGTGTATTTTTCTAAGCCATCTTCTCAGTCAAGCTGATTTTGCTTTTCTTTGCATTCATGTGATTTCTGCAGTTTGAAACACAAAGCAGTATCATCACAAGCAATTCTTGTTGTCATTAAACATCTAGCACGTCATGGGAAAACATAATCCAAAAGCATTGCATCCATTACTGATATTTCAATCTACAGCTTGCATTCATGTCACTTTTTGGTATATTTAATCTAAATGTATGTAAATAAAAAAATATTCTGTTTACTTCACTTTAATCACTGGATGGTGCAAATGTGTTTCATGTTACATATATGAATACAATTTTAAACAATGACAGATTGGAGATCATTATTGTGTGTTGTATGCCTACGTGGCTTCAGCTAATTTTTTAGTGGCTTTTAAAAAGTGGTAGGGATGGAATCAACTTTGGCAAAATGGTCAAATAGCAATTAAAATTCTGTTTAATTAGTGACTTTCAATTTGTTTTTCATTTTAATATTTTATTTAATATTATATTTTATGACATTTAAACTATTCCGTTTTAGGTGATGTAAAAATATACATTATATTTATTCTATATATCTTGTAGTAAATAAATCAGTGTAGGATTTGTAATTGAGTGAAATGAGAACCCGTCTGATGTCTGATATTATTGCAAAGTACTGTGGATATTTATTTTTAATTTATGTATATTTTTATATTTTTATTATTTATTTATTTTTGTTTTCCACTTACTTGTTCAAGTTGGCCTTATTTTTTTAGGGCATGTTTACTATGCTGCTGTGCCCTTATGTGCTTTTTACATTACAGTGTGCATGCAGACAGATAGTTTTACAGCTCTGAGACCTTACGCATGTGTTTCTGTGCTTCCCTCCCACAGGCTGACATGGGAATGACCTACTCAGAGCTATCTGTGATTGGCAGACTCAGGAAGATCTCCAAGTGTGGCCCATACAGCATGTTTTGCAAGCTGATTCACTCATGGAAAGAGACCTTCTCTCCCTCGCAGGTCAAACATGCCCTAAACGTTACAGTACTCATAGTGCCTGATACTTTTAAAAGCAGTAAATACTAATATTTGACCACTGTTACTTTATGACCAGTAGAGCAATGCCATGCTTTGTGCAAATGCCATTTTTTGGGGTTTTGCAGGTGGCTACTAAAGTGAAACATTTTTTTAGGATGTACTCAATCAACAGACATAAGATGACAACAGTAACACCCTCTTATCATGCTGAAAACTACAGTCCAGATGATAACCGTTTTGACCTCCGTCCTTTCCTTTACAACACACAGTGGCGCTGGCAATTCCGCTGCACAATCAATGAGGTCAGCAGTTCTACAGAACAATGTGATTTCATTAGGCTGTATTATACAAGCTTTAATATTGAAACTTTACACAAATACTGCACACACACACACACACACACACATATATATATATATATATATATATATATATAGATAGATGTAAATGTTTGTCTGAAGATGTCTGTATGTAGTTTTTCTATTTGTATGAAATCCATTCTGTTTTTCTGTTGTATAGGTGGCTATGATGGAGTGATATGGAAGGTGTATGTACAACTGTTATCAGAAGCCACTGATCCTTGGTCCAAAGATTCATCTCGGCCACTGATGTTATAGTGAGCGCTCAGCAGTTCTCTGCACTCTTTCTGTTTGGCTGCACATGCACTGCAACCTGTTCTAGTTATTGTTTTTCTTAGGATGTATAAATCCTAAATAATGTCTTCAGTTATGTTCGCATTTTAATGCAAATAATCAGGTTTGCGATTATTGAAATTGTGTATGGTAAATTGGTACTGGTTGTTTAAAAATAAAACAATACATGAAATTGTTCATATGCAGTTACTGTTAAATAAGATATCTGTAACTTGCACTTTCATAATCTTTCATTGAATAATTTGCCAAGAAACAAGCATATTTGCCCAGATCAGCTCAAGTATGTAGTGTAAATGACTCTATAACCAAGCAAATTAAATGACTGCAGCATTTTTCAAGAACACAGGCATGCCAGTGATATAACAGTGATGACTGGGTCATTCCTTGCAGAACTCTGTAATATAATAAATATTTCTACAAAAAGGATTATGCTCTTTATATAGTATGCTTTGGTAAAGCTCAGGCACTTAAGGTTTCTAAATTGTAGCTTGATTATCTGCAAGAAAACAGGAATGGATAATTCACCCCAAAAATGACAATTCTGTCATTATTTACTCACCCTCATGTTGTTCCAAACCTGTATGACTTTCTTTCCAAGTATTTTTGTTTTAAAGAATGTTGTTAAAGAAACTGTTTTGGTTACCATTGACTTTATTTTTATAGACATGGTTGTTCTTGAAAATATCTTATATTTTACGACCACAGAAGAAAGAACGTCATGCAGGTTTGGAATGACATGAGAATGAGTAAATAATGACAGGATTTTCACTTTGGGATGAACTATGCTTTTAACTTGAGGGTAATTTTTAAAATGTAAAAACATAATAAGTAAGTGTTGACGTGGGAAAACAGAATGGAACGTTTTAAAGTGAGACAAAGCAACTAATACAGCAAATCATCTTTTTTTATTTTTATTTTTTATTTATCTTTTGCTAATGCTACTGTTGTCTGTGTTGTTGAAAAGCCGCTGGTTATAGTTTTCCCACCAAACATATCACTTCCTAAGAAATGATTTTGGAAGCGGCTTTTTGTTTAGCTATTATAGTTTCAACGACTAACAGGATAGAATGTGATGGCGAGGACAAAAATGCAATTAATTGATTACCAATTTAAAAAACAAAAACAAAATAAAAGTGTGATTTTCATGTTGTATTCATTATGGCGTACAAATGTAGATTTGAAAGATATTTTTAAGTTTGAAAGGAACTTTTAAAGTTGTCTTAAGGCAGAACGCACGAGAGAGCGGATGTGGACGTGTTGGGTGTTAGAGAATTGACTTCCTCTTTGTATGTGTGAAAAGGTCTGAAGTGAACACACGTTGGTACAGCTATCATACACACACGCGTGCGCACAAACGTTTTATATACATATAAATGAGAAGAAAAAAAGAGTTTATTTCAGGGAGATTCATTAATGTATTATTTAACTGTTATTATAACCCGTATTAAGAGTGTCGCAAGTAAATTCCCACGCTTGCTCAATCCGTTTGCAGCTCATGACGCAAATGAACTCGAAGGAAAATTTAGGACAAGCTGAACACTATAGGCTCATAAATCCCAACCATTTGCCTAGATTAAAATGACCCTTCGTTATAAACAAAGACGGACGTTTATTTGAACGCAATATAACACCAGCAGAAGATAATGCTCTTCTTTCGAATGAGTTCTTTTTAGTGATTCTTTTGAACCGGTTCGCACAGTGTTTTATCACTTACCTTCAAAAACACCTTAAACTTCAGCATGTGACGAGCTCTATATAATATTTAATCTATAAAACATTGTGGAAAAACATCAGAATGTAACTAAAACGTATTTTGGGTGATGACTGAACAAGTGCATTTTTGGAGGGTGAACTGATTCATTGTAAAGAATCATTCGAACCGATTCGGTAAAATGAAACTTAACTAGTTAGTGCTCTGACATGAGCGAGCAGAAAGTTTCATATGAGTGAGTGAGTGAGTGAGTGAGTGAGTGATCTGAGGATATGGGAGGAGTTGACGGCTCCTAAAAACACCCCGAGCACTGTTGCTCTCGCTGAAATGTTACACGGACTCAGTACTGTGGGGATAAAAACAAGTGCGTCTCCACTATGGTTACTAGCGAGACTGTCACTTTATTTACAGACATGGGCAGAAGACTCGTTTAGGTTTGTCCTTCGTCACTACCGATATCTTTAACGCCCTGTTTGGGATTTATTTGGCATATTTGGAGACTTGTAGCGATTGTCTAGATGGAAGAAGAAGAGCCGCTACTGACTGGCAGCATTAACCGGGACTCTGGTGATTATGGATCTCATGATAATGGTGAACATTATCAACACGAAGAATCACCAGGATCAAGACGACTGTCCTATTCAGTGACTGACGATTCTTACCCTGTGTACGAGGGTACGTATGTTTTATCAGTCTGACCTGACGAAAGTGTCCTGACTTAGCCTTTAAAACTTTTCCTCAACCTTGTTCTGCTGTCTTGTAGTTTATTCTTTATCTCTGTGTGTTATTTAATAAAAGTCTAAAGGTTGTGGCTCTGCGAGGCTGGTATCAATTCATTCACCTCTGTTTGGTTTCTGTCTTTGCTGTCAGACAAACACACCATTGTCTTCTTATTGCCTCTGCAGGTCATCTACTTTGACTTCATTTGTTGCTTTCTTGAATGATGTATGAAATTACAAGTGAAGATAGTTAGACATACTGAAAATGTATTTTTATTGTTTACAGTTAATGTAATACTTGTCAAAGATTAGTTTTCATATTTTAGCAGAAATCTGGGGCAGCTAAAGGTGTTTTGGGTGGATGTGTGAAAATCTTGTTCAGACTAGTTATAAAAAGTGTTGCAAAATACAATTCGAACATTATGTCAAGGTAATCTGAATGTCAAACTGACTAGTTTGTTTTAGTCTGTGATTTTGGCATGTTTAGAATAAAGTTTTTATTTGTTGACATTAGTTAGCTAAATTAGTTATCACGAACTAACAAATAGCAGTACATCTACAGCATTTATTAATCTTAGTTAATTTTTATCAACATTTATGAAAACATTTTTCAGATCAAAACTTTTATGTTAACAATAGATAAACTGAACTAACATGGACATTGATTAAAAAAAAACCATCAACAAAGGTTAATAAATGCTGTAAAAATATATTGCTGTTAGTTATATGTAGTAATACAGTAAAATATGTGCATGTTAGTTATTGTATGTCTCCAGTACGAAGTCAAATGAAACTTTCAGTGGCTCTTTATTGTTCTACTTAGCGTAATCGCTCAAGGATGGTTTGGATTTGCTGGCTCATTTCATATCAAGGTAATCTGAATGTCAAACTGACTAGTTTGTTTTAGTCTGTGATTTTGGCATGTTTAGAATAAAGTTTTTATTTGTTGACATTAGTTAGCTAAATTAGTTATCACGAACTAACAAATAGCAGTACATCTACAGCATTTATTAATCTTAGTTAATTTTTATCAACATTTATGAAAACATTTTTCAGATCAAAACTTTTATGTTAACAATAGATAAACTGAACTAACATGGACATTGATTTAAAAAAAACCATCAACAAAGGTTAATAAATGCTGTAAAAATATATTGCTGTTAGTTATATGTAGTAATACAGTAAAATATGTGCATGTTAGTTATTTTATGTCTCCAGTACGAAGTCAAATGAAACTTTCAGTGGCTCTTTATTGTTCTACTTAGCGTAATCGCTCAAGGATGGTTTGGATTTGCTGACTCATTTCCTGTTGAGAAGTTCAGGTTTGGTAGCTCCTGAATATCCTGTGACACTTAAAAATATGCCTACACACATAGTTTTACAATCAGAATATTATTATTTTTTTCAACACAGGGTAGAGGTACAGGCCATAGAATGATCCAGTAAATTTTGCACCAGACTCTGCGAGTGGTTAAATAGGGAGTGCGAGTGCAATATGGGAATGATTTTTATGGAGCCAAAATATCTTTTACTATGTTTTTGTTTAGATTACAGAGAATTTAATAGTTTAACTTTGTTTAATATTACAAGATCTCCAATGCAAAACCTTTTGGGACATTTTTGTAAAAAAGTCAAACGCATGAACAAAATTCACAACTAAAACTTTTTATTTATTTATTTTTATTTTTTGTTTATTTGTCTTTCCTTTAACACAGATGCAGATGCAGACCTCTATATCCAGCAGGCAGTTGTATTTATTGAAGATGCAATTCAGGTTATTATTTTATTTTTTTTCTAACATTTTTTAAAATTATTTTTTATATTGATTGAATGAATGTCTGATTTCCCTGTTTGTGCTCTTTTCCACAGTATCGATCCATCAATCACAGGGTTGATTCTGGGTCCTTACGGTTATATAGATGGTATTATTCCAAAATTTGCCAGTGGTAAGCAAGCAGAAATTTATGCTTTTTATTTAAGATTTTTTTCTTTGCCAGCCATGTGCCATACAAAAAAAAAAACAGTTACTACGGCAACACTGGAATTGTGAAAAATTGCTTCATAGGTTTATATAAAAACATGATTGAATTTTTGTTTATTTGGTATCAGTATTCACACTCTGTAGTTGTGTCTAAATCATAGTATAGGTGAGCCAAATCCATCAGTAACAAGACAGATCATACTCAGAGAGCCTTGCTTTCAGTCATTACTGAATTTTGACAAAATGTAGGTACTTTGTTTTTCCTTTTCATTGCATACCGTAGTTATTTCAATCAGTGTTTCTCAACTGGTAAAAAAACAAAAGTGGTACACCTAAAAGTTGACAAAATAACTTTTAGCAGATTTTATATATATATATAATAATTATTATATATTTTTTTGGAAACTATTAAACTATTATGGTCTATTACGATCCAGACAGTTCCAATGGATAACATCAAGTCTTACCCACAATTTGTCATTCAAGAAGCCTTTTTACTTGGATATATGTCCCATTAAGGAAGATAAAAAGCTAATTGGGACAATCCCTTCAATATTCCCTGCCTCAACGTCCTGTTATTGGAGATACTGTACGTTAACACAGACAAGAAAACTAAGATCACAAAGCCATTTCATAGTTCTTTAAGCTTTATTCACAGAACCTTGTTGTTGGATTGGATCAGACATGTTGTCAATTACCACAGAAAGGTTAGACTTGTCTCTTAATTTGTAAAATCAAATAAAATTCACATTCTAGAGGGTTTAAAAGCAGAAATATTCCTTGTATTTTACATTACACGACATTACAAAATGTTCGTTTTTGGAGCTATTAAGTTGTCCATGTCATCCTTTTGTGGTGTGATTACAGTTCTAGGTAGAAGAGCTTCTACAGTAATAATGCATTACCAGTATAGTTCCTGTGGGTGGAATGGAAACAGCACTTATAGTTACATCATGTCCCTTTCCGGTATCCTTGCAGGGATAGAAATTAAAACCTGCCAAATGTGGGTGAAAATCACCCATGCTGGGTTACACATATCAACTCACTAGCCAGTTTGGTGGGATGTGATTAGTAAATCTATCATTTTACATGCCATCGCTAGCACTTCCCATAAAAACAGCCTCCAGCATTAGCAAAACAAAGCAAAAAGAGACGAGACAAATATCCTGCAATGACAAAGTGTCCTCACAAAGTTTACTATTGAATTACATTAACAAAATTTAGATTGTGCATTGTGCATTTTTCAAGAATAAATATGTTTTTTTGGCTTGAATAAAGTCTTCATATAGAGAATTATATCCGAGCAGCTTTTTTCTTTCCATTAGCCCTTTTTTTGTGACCAGCTTACTGTCTTCCAGAGCACTTGGAGACAAGAGGCCACTTATCAAGCCGTTCTCAGTTCCTAGGGGTCCGATAAATGCCGCATGTCCAAGACTTCTGCGTGTCATTATACAGATACCAAAGCACCCTTTAGCGTGTTTATTGCAATGCGCCGTATTTAAAAACATTTGTCGTCAATATACTGATATGAAGGGCATGAGAATTTTACATTCGTTAAATTAAATGCTGGGATATAATTTTGTTATCATGGTATGATATTTTGGGGCATTATTTTCAGACACCTTGGGAGTGAGAACAGGTTGGCATTTTTTAATGGATATTAATGGAAGAAAGGCTTCAGTTCTCAGTAAGTTGACATTTGTAAGGAAACATTTGGGATACATTTTTGAAATTACAGCCTGTCCACTAATCTTCAGTGTTTAACATTAAACATTCATTTTGGAGTAAGCTATATTTAAAAATGAAATGCTGTCACAGAGATTTTTGTGTGTGTCTGATTTTGATAATCCACTTTATGTGCAATATTTCTATTTTGGCTATTAGAAGTTCTAAATGGCCAATAACCTAATTTGCCTAGTGAAGGAAAAGGTTAATTTAAAGGGGTCATATGATGCGATTTCAATTTTTCCTTTCTCTTTGAAGTGTTACAAGCTCTTGGTGCATAAAGAAGATCTGTAAAGTTGCAAAGACTAAAGTCTCAAATCCAAAGAGATATTCTTTATAAAAGTTACGAGTGAACCACGCCTACCTAAAACGGCTTGTTCTAACACGCCTCCACATATCTACGTCTATGATGTGGGAAGATTTCGTGAAAGCGAAACTACTTTGTTTGGCCTTCCAAAAGAGGACGATATCTGCTTCGTCATGCCTAGAGCTGATCCGTGCTGGTCGCTGAGGAAATACATCAACTTCGCGCTGTGGATCGCCGGATCGGCTTTCACCGTGGACAAAGCAGAGTCCAGCCCGGGGTCGTCACATGTGGTTGCCGCAAGCTCCTTCGTCGAATCCGCCGGCCGCCGCTCACTCTAGCCGCCGGCCTGAAAGCGAAACTACTTTTTGTAAAAAAAAAAAACTGGACCTGCAACCTTCCTGCAATTATTTTGACCTGTACCCTCTAGCTGCTTATGTGGTCATTTGCTTATGTTTCTCTCTGTCAGTATCAGTTCCACACTCTCTTTCTCTTGAAGGGGTCTGGGGTTCACTATTGCTGTTGTACTGGGACTGGCTTTCATTGAGACACCCTCCTCTTTGACCTACACCTCGGACATTCGTTTCAAACCCAAGCCTTGGGAGCCACCCTGTGGACTGACGGAGGGGATTGAGATAGTCTGCCTTTGTATCTTCATCCTAGATGTCACTGTGAAGGTAGAAATCCAGAAATATTCAGTTGACTATTGGGATAGCATTAAACAGGTAGTTCACTCAAAAAAATGAAAATTCTGTCATTATATGTCATTCAAGCCCATATGACAGAGTTAAACAGACCTCTTTTGTAATATGACTTAAGTTGCTTAATATTATATTAAAGAACATATTGGATGTTTTGTGTGTTTTGCAGAGTTATCTGATAGGATGGGAGGAGTTTCGTATGAACAAATGGCTGATTGGTTATATAGTAGTGATTGCAGCATCAGTTATTGATTGGATGTTGAGTATTAGCATGATGTGCAGTGAGGTGAGTTTATAAGAACTGTACTACAAAGCTGCTTATTTATTATGCCTCTTTACACTATAACAGTATATGACAATATTTACACTATAAAACAAATTGGCGTAGAAAGTTTTCACTCGAAATTGCTAGTAAATTCCACAAATAATTACAAAGAAATGGCAATTAACGCATTACATTAAACTGAAGATTGAAATAGTATTAAGTTAAATGTGACAATAAATTACTAAATTAATTCAATATGACATAAATATACCTTTTTATGTAGTTTCATTAAATTAAATATCGAAAGTCCCCACATGTAATCTGCCCAACACTATTGGCAAAATAAAATGTGACCCTGTTGGACCACAAAACCAGTCTTAAGTCGCTGGGGTATATTTGTAGCAATAGCCAAAAATACATTGTAAGTGTCAAAATTATTGATTTTTCTTTTAAGCTAAAAATCATTAGGATATTAAGTAAAGATCATGTTCCATGAAGATATTTTGTAAATTTCCTACTGTAAATATATTAAAACTTAATTTTTGATTAGTAATATGCATTGCTAAGAACTTCATTTGGACAACTTTAAACGCGATTTTCTCAATATTTAGATTTTTTTGCACCCTCAGATTCTAGATATTCAGGTGATGTATAAATCTCAATTTCGAAAAATTGACCCTTATGACTGGTTTTGTGGTCCAGGGTCACAAATGTTCTTATAATTCATAGAAATGCAAGTAAAAATAAATTCTAAATGAACTTCATTAAAGTGCAGTTAAAATTTTAATTTACAATTCTTTTTTTATTTTGATTTAACTTGCCCTCATTTGAAGAACAGACCAAAATTTAAGTTGTATTTTACATCTTGCCCTCCATTGTCACTTAAATCTAATTTGCATAAGAACATCAAATATGACCTGAGGGAAATTAAATGAAATGTTAATTTTTGGACAATCTAATCATCATCTTAAGTAAATGTCTCGGTCAGCTGTCAGCATCAGGTTCGTTGATTGTAATGCTTCCCTGTCATTCTGTCCCACAGAGTTTAAGAGTCAGGAGACTAATTCGCCCATTTTTCCTCTTGCAAAACTCTTCCCTTATGAAGAAAACTCTAAAATGTATCAAAAGGACTCTTCCGGAAATAGCAAGGTAATAACATATTTTCTGTAATAAGGGTTTTTCCCCATAACAGCCTCCATTTAATTCCTTATTTTCACTTCTCAATTTGTGTGCAGTTCCATTCTAATATTATAATTTAAAAATGACCGGATAAACATTGACCGGATCTGTTCTGTCTGTTTTTCACTCTTTCCGTTTCAGTGTTATTCTGCTTCTGGCATTACACATCTGCTTATTCACCATGATAGGAATGCTGATCTTTGCCAAATCAGATGTAAGAAGTGATCACATCCTTATCACATAATTTCTATCAATACTTATATGGGCCCACTTTTTGATTTAAACAAGCCTCTGTCCCCAAGTATTACATTTTGCCACATAACTCATACTCATCAATTCGTGCTTTGGACATGAATGATACGTTAGTGTTGCTTATTGAGGAGAGATGTTCAAGAGATCAGATTTTTACTGGGCAGACAATAAAAATCCTAAAGACTTATGTTGATGGAGAAACCGGAGTCATATCTAGATATCAGAATATAGAGACTTGGATGTGGGATCTTTTGACATGGGCCAGTAAGCAGCCACATAGCTACATGCTGAACACCTCAGAAACCACACAGCATCCAACGACAACACTTTAGCATCCTGGCAGCAATTTTTGCACAGGCAAGCACCACTAAAAATGTATTCAGAAAATTTAAAAATGTAATCAGGGTTTGTGTGGGTCTTAAAAAAGCCTTTTTAAATAAGAGCAGAAAGTCTAAAGCTGATAAAGTCATGGCATTAAATGTTGCATACATTGTAAAAGTGAAAATAAATCAAGATACATTTACATGCAAATGTAAGTTCTTGAAAAATAACTAAATTGAGTGAGTTTGTGTAAAACAAGAGCAAATATCTGTCAATGGGGTATGAAAACTTTTTCCCCTTTGAATTAAGTAGAATTTTTCTGAGCCCATTGGCAGATATGTTCATATTTTAATCAAACTCGCTTCATTTTGCTTCAAACTCACTTCATTTTGATCAATTTCAGACTTCTTATGTCAATTTGCTCCTCAAGTAAATGTATCTTAAGAGACATTTTGCACAAAATTACTGTGGAAGAAAATCAGCTTTTTTGCAGTGTGATCAGGAAGTAAAGTGTTTTTTTTGGTAACTCGTGTTCTCTCTAGACATTTACATTAAGAGAGCATATTGACTTGGGCATATTATTGTATTCTCTTCAATTTATTCCTTATATTTTCTTTACTTGTTTTTAAAAAGGTCTTAAATAGTCTTAATTTTACCTTGATAAAACCTACAGAAACCCTCAGTAATGTACTAAGGGCCAGATTTACCAAACAAGACAAATTAGTGCGAGAGCACAGTTCCAAAAATATTCACTGCAGATGGAAGTGGAAAGTTCTGCGGGTGATTTACTGACAATGCGTAAATTAAAGAACAGATGCAACATCTCATTTCCATAATGAACAACGTAATCTACCAAGATCAGCACAAATTAAGGTAGCAAAAAAGCAGAGCAAATAAAAAAATTATGTGGCTTGGCATATAATATGTACGGATAACATCTTCCTCTGGCATTCCAAATAAATTAATACGAGTGGAAAAAAGTCTCTCCCTTCTACCAAGCAATGCTTCCTCCTGGCTGCAGCAGTCGCAACCAAGTCAAATGCAAAATGGGTTAAGACATGCTTTTTTTGAGTGGTGCAAATACCAGTAAATTGACTACCGCAAACCTTACTAAATCATGTTGCATGATTCATTTAAATAGGCCTACTCTCCTCCCATAAATTTTGCGTCTGAAAGGGAAACTGCTACAAATGCATATGCAATAAGGTCAGCTGGAGTAAAACTGTTAGTAAATCTGGATAATTACAAACAATTAGTTTAGTTTGTTAATAAATGTAGTTTAGTTTTAATTAGTTATTTAGTTAATCTAAATGTGCAATTTGTAATCGTCATCTGGCCAGTAAAGGAACAAATACCATCTAATCTTTACATTTACACTGAATCATTTAGCAGACACTTTTATTCCAAGTGAGTTGCTACAGTTGACTGAATAGATGTGTTTCTGTAGGACCCTAAGAAGAATGGAGAATGGGAAACCTACTTCAAAAACCTGCCAAAGGCCCTGTCTTCTCTGCTAGTGCTGCTAACGACAGCCAACAACCCTGATGGTACGTCTTCATTTGACTCTAAATGTTGTTAAAGTCTCTCAGGAGGTGCAAATCTCTGAATGACTCGGTAAAGTTTTAGATGGTCAGTGACAGATGACATTTTGACACCGTTGTGTCGAATTCTCAGTCATCTGTGGCTCATTGCAGTGGAGGCTATGAGTCATTGGCTTTAACCACATGACATGATGTCTTGTGACTTGTCACAAAGTTCTGTTAAACTTTCACAGGTATCTGTATTCATTTTAAATGTGAAACTGCCTAAAATGGCCTACAACCTTTCTTGTAATCTGTGTGTATGTCAACGTGTCTTCCTCTGTCAACAGTCATGATTCCAGCATACTCTCTGAACCGTGGCTATTCTATATTTTTTATACTCTTTAGTGTGTTTGGTAAGTTTTAATGGCACTCAACACACACACACACACACACACACATACAGACATATACTACTGGTCAAAACATTGGAATAATATAAGATTTTGCAATATTTCTAAAAGAAGTCTCTAATAATTATTTCTGAAGAAATGTGTCTCTGAGTAATGGCTGCTGAAAACTCAGGAATAAATTGCATCAAATTTGCATTAAATTTGATGCAATTTATTTTAATTTTTTACTGTATTTTTTCAGTGCAGCTTTGGTGAGCATAAGAGACTTCTTTTCAAAAACTTTTGACTCATAGTGTATATTTACACGCACGCACACTGCAGTTAATATTACTTGCATTCAAAATTTTCCACCTGCATTAAACATTGACAATTTTTTTTCTTTTCTTTTAGGGACATATTTGTTAATGAATCTAATGACGGCTATTATTTATAACCAGTTCAGGGGATATTTACTGGTGAGTGACAGTTACGTGACTTACATTAGACGTTGTTTTAGGAATTTGTGCTTGTTTGCTAGAAGAATAGTTCAGCAATCTATATTCTGTTATTATTTCCAAACTCATATGACTGTTTTTTTCCCCATGGAGCATAGAATGTATTTTATCATTTCCAAGCTCCTCTTTTCCATACAACAGAACTGACCAGAGCCCATCAAGCTCCAAAAATGACAAAAAAAAAAAAAAGCACAATAAAAGTTTTCCGTATGACCCTGTTTTTTCAATTGGTTTTAAGGCATACCATAATTATTATTGTATGGAAAAGAGTGGCGTGAAAATTCTTCAAAAATTCCTCTTGTGTTTTGTGAAGTCATACATGTTTGTGACAAAATGAGGGTCAGTAAATGTTGATTTTAGGTGAACTGTTCCTTTTATTATTGTTGTTATGGTCTGTGTGTTTAGATGTCAGTTCAGACGTCTATAATCAGGAGGCGTCTGGGTATTCGGGCTGCTTTCGAGGTGCTGTGCTGTCCAGGCCGAGGGCACACCAGCACTCAATCTGAAGGCCATGTGTAAGATCCAGTCCTCTCCAGCACTTTAGTCTTTCTTCCTTATAGCAAACATTTACTCTTTATATCTCTAATGTGGTGTTTTATGCCTGGTCACATGACTTTTCCTGTTGCTGCTCAGGGAGCGAGTGGCGGTGAACATGTTTCTGCAGGTCATGGATAGAGTTCACATGAAGTCTTACTGCAGGCAGGCTATCATTAAGGTCAGTACAGATTGCAGAATAGTTTGTTATAGTAAATAGTGCATGACATGGTTGTTTGTTTTACCTGTCTTTTGTTTCCTCCAGGCTGCTCAGCAGTTCCCAGATGGCTTCATTAATGGCGAGGCCTTCCAGAGGCTCTTTAATGAGCTGGATAAGGATTTTATGAAAGAGGTTTGATCGTCTACATTTGTGGATCAGTTTACATTACAGTACATTCTGAATTCAGGAAGTTACACTTTTTGAACAGTTTGTGCAAGTTGGTTAAATTAGTATTAGAATCATTAAGACATTAGTGCATAGCACGGTTGGGCAAGTTGAGAATTGGTTCCCTTGCATTTTATGAGTTAGAATTTGAATCAAAATGACAGCTGTACACTGTAAAAATTGACCGTGAATTTAACGGTAATAGACTGTAAAAATGCTACAGTAAAAACCTGTTACATGGTTAACGGTAAGTTCCCCTACTATATACGGTGAAAAACTGTATTGGAAATTACATGTAATTTTTACGGTAGTATACCGTTTTTAGAAGTGAAAAAGAACATATAATTTACAGTGAATAATCATAAATTGACATTACCAGAATTCCCTGCATTACATTTCAAATTTGATGTTTTTTTGTTGAAATAACTATGTTTCTACTTAGTTTTTTCTTATCAGTTATGTTTATTAGGGTTGTATGTTACACCTAATGTTGTTAAATTAATGTTTAGTGCATTATTTCAGTTTCATGTGTGTTACCATGATGCTGTTTGGTGTTTGTGTGAATGACACTGTGCACCTTCTATATATGTTATTATTTAAAAGCTGCTTGTGATGGGCTTTGGTTCATCATGTGACTTTCTCATCACCACCTGCATTTGGTGGTTATCAGTGTATTACAAAGGTACAAAACTCATCACCACCTGCTTTTGGTGGTTATCAGTGTATTACAAAGGTACAAAACAGATTTCAGTACTTCAATAGGTTGATATATTAACATTATATTAGTTAATTAAATTACGGTATTTAACTGTAAATTTGAGTTAAAACTATAAAATCTAAAACGTTGCTACTGTATTTTTTACGGTAAAATATAAAATATAAAACGGCATCCACAGCTGCTGTTTTTTTACCGTAAATTTTACGGAATTTTTTTTACAGTGTATGGCAATTCACAAAACTCCCAAAACGAGTTTTGATTAATCCAATTCAACAACGAAACAGGCAAGAATAGATAACTGTTTAAAATTTGCATCTTATAAGTTTGCTTCATTTTGTTTGGCTTTAATACAATTAAGAGAGCATTCTAGAAAATAATGTGTTCTTCAACTATGTTCCAAACAAATAAGTTTAATTTTTATAACAAATATAATAATGTATAATAACATATAATATAATATAATATAATATAATATAATATAATTAATTATTAAATTAAATTATTGAATATAATATGTATAAATATAATAAAATTAATTTAAATTGTGTAGAAAATTCTTATACAAACAATAATATTAATAGTATATAATTTTCAGGAAAGTGGAATAATGTAATATTAAAATAATGTAATATTAAACCACACTTGGAGTGTTTTTGGATTTCTTTTAAATTAGATTTTACTTACTCAGATTCAAACTGAAGGAGTTGAATTGGAATTTCTAAAGACACTCTTAATTTAATTCTGAATTCAGCTTTGGTGTAAACAGACATTTTAACTGTTCTATTATTGTTTTTTTGTTTTTTTTTCTCCCTTCAGCATCCACCAAAACCAGAGTACAGTTCTCCTGTCCTACGGCATATCCAGAACATCTACAGTCACTTTTATATTACTGTGCTGGGGAATGTTGTCGCTCTGGCAAATGTCATCTGTATCTGTGTAAGATACCATATTTCCTTTTACTTGCTTTGATTATCATATACATCACCCTACATAAAGAACATTACACACTTTTCCAGAATTCAGTAGACTAAAACAGGGTCTTCCAGATTGGTTGTTCACCACCTAGTGGTTCATTATGGAGCTGCAAGGGGCTCTTGAGATAGAAATGCCAAATTAAATTGAATTGGATTGAAATATGTAAGTTTTAATATTAAATAATCAAGTGTAACACTTTACTCTTACACAAACAAGTCATTAAATGTATTTAAACATTGACCACAGATTATACTTTATACAATAAAATGAAATCTACAAATGTGAAAGTACTCATACTCACCATAAATGCTTACAATTCATATAATAAAAAATAAAACTAGTTTAATAATTGTATTATTACAGTTGTTATTAACAAATTATAGCATTATTTGAAATCAGATCAGAAAATTATTTGAATAATTTAGTTTACAAAAATAGATTGCAAAGTCTATGTAGAGCGCAGGATGTTTTTAGTTTTTTTTTTTTTTTGCAAAATGGTGCCATCTTGTGGATAGCATATGCAAAAAAAAAAATGATTTGATTCTTGAAGTTCATATCTGATATCTGTTATTGTTTTTCTGCAGACTGTCTTGGTTCTGAATTCAGAGAAATCTGGGTCAGAGAAAAATAACTTCTATATGGAGGTGACTGTTTCATGCACTGAAAATAATTTATGTCGCTGTAAAAATATAATTTCGTAGAAAAGTATTAGTTGTTGGTTCATTTGTAAAAATAAATAAATAACATTGTGTTAAATCATTTGGGTGGACTTTAAAAATGCCCTGGTGTTTTTTCCGCAATAGTTGATATATGTGTTTTTCTGCATTTTCTGTGTGGTTCTATAAATATTCATGTAAATATATTTTCTTTCTTTTAGATCCTCAACTGTATTTTCATCCTGTACTATTTAATAGAGATGCTGCTGAAAATAGTGGCTTTTGGTTGGAGAGGTTACCTGTCTTACAGGAATAACATCTTTGATGGATTCCTCACTGTTCTTCTTCTGGTAACACATTTCCTGTGTAATTTTTTTTGTGATTTAAAATTATCATTAGGAATTCTGCGGCATACATAGCTGTTTACATGGTGAAGGCAATAACTGGAGACCCATTGTGTTTTTCTTTTATTCTCAACAGGCAATTCAGATTGCCATATTCATCACGTACAGGATTCCCTATGAGGACGTGTGAGTGTGCTTAATTTAAAGAACAAATCTCCTGATCTCTTCTCCAAATGCTTTAATGTGATGTTTTACTCTTATGTTAACAGAGATCCGGTTCCACGACATGTGATGGCTTTGTGGGAGATGGTGCGACTGGTCAACATGTTGATTGTCTTCCGTTTCCTCCGAATAATTCCAGAAATCAAGGTTGGTGGTGGACTTCTCACATGAATCACATTGGTTCTAAATGTACACAAGGAGAAATGATACTACAGCTGTGCGAAACATACCGGCACCATTGCATTTCTTTTTTCAAATAGTTTTTTGCCGGTCACCAGTAAAGTTAAAAGGTTTTCAGTGCACCAAAATAAAAAGCTTAAAAAATACTGGATGGATGGATGGATAGATAAATAGATAGACTGTACATTATTCCTTACCTATTTCACAGGAGACAGTTCACAGGAGCCAGTATTTTTTCATATAATTGGCACAATTGGTCATACCATCTGACATTAAAAGAGCACTAAAAAATGCTTAAAATGTAATAAATGCTTAATAAATGTGTAAAGATTTTTTTGTGCTTACTTTAGTTGATGGCCGTGGTGGCCAGCACTCTTGTGGACCTGGTGAAAAACTTACGGGCATTTGCTGGCATTCTATTGGTGAGTGAACAGACTCTTTTTACTAGCAGTTTTATTATTGATGGTGATTGATCGTACTGATGGTCTCTTCACTTGTACATTTCTCTGATACAGGTAGTGTACTATATGTTTGCCGTCCTTGGTATCTGGCTTTTCCAGGGAGCTATAAACCCTCCATCAAACATGAGGTACTGTTCATCAACTGCACATTTAACAGGAAACATAAAAATACAGTAAAAACTGTAATATTGTGAGGTATTATTACAATTTATTACTTTTTAATGTATTTTAAATTGTAATTTATTACTGTGATGACTGAATTTTCAACAGCCATTACTATAGTCTTCAGTGTCACATGATCCTTCAGAAATCATTGTAATATACTAATTATGCTCAAGAAACATTTCTTATTATTTTCATAGATTTTACATCTGAGCTTCTTCTCTCTCTATGTGCTCTCCTTTCAGTCTAATCTCCAATGCCAGCATTGAGAACAAAACAGATGGTCCCTTCAGCATGGATTGTGGCACTTTTGAACAGCTGGAGTACTGGCCAAACAACTTTGATGATTTTGCTGTAAGTTGCACAGAGGCCTCTGGGAACTTGGTTTTTAACAAGTTCCCAGAATGCCGTAATAAGCACGTATGAGGAATAAGTAGTCAGAGGATTTGAACAGATTTGCTAGGCTTAAAGTATTAAATTGTGTTTTTAAATTTGTTTTTATTTTGATACTATTTTCACTTTCAAAAGTGAAACCTATATTTTAGGTTTAAGCCTACATACAATTAAGGAAAACTGTTTTTTGGTCTCGCAAATTAATGTCAATTATTGAGCTATTAAATAAAAAAAAATGTAACTATTTTTCCTGTCATATTTTTCCAGTCCTCTCTGGTTCTCCTCTATAATATCATGGTGGTGAATAACTGGCATGTTTTCACAGACGCATACACCAGATACACTACAGAGTAAGCTAGACGCTCTACACACACACACACACACACACACCCTTCTGTCTGTCTTTAACACGTGTGCTTTAACTGAACGGGGTTTTGTAAATGTGTACCCATAATTCTTCCATGTCAGGTGGTCCTTGGTGTACTTTGTGGCCTGGTGGTTGACATCTTCAGTCATGTGGGTCAACCTGTTTGTGGCCCTCATTTTGGAGGTATGTAGATTGTTTTCTGTAAATAATTCAAGACTGACCATATTTACTTTATTAATACACATTCCCAGTCTTCCTATTCCAAAAGAAAAAAATATATATTATAGTCCTATTTTTTATGACTGAAATCTGATGAACTACTGAACAAATGATCAATAGCATGACTTTTTTCCAAACCAGTTAAACACACACCCTGTCCCGCAGCTGAGTGTAAAGATTTGGTCATGTCAGTGACAGTGTTGATTGCCTATACAACACTGAAACCAATACTAACCCCTAACCTTAACCTTAATAACCGGTAGTAGCACATCCAGTTAGTTAGCATTACTGTTTGTAACTGAATCAATAAATTCTGACCTTTTCTTGACAGCTCAGTAAATTTGTTTCTAAACATGCTAGTTAACCTTGTTTTTTCCCCTTTGTTTAGAATTTCACCTATAAGTGGGACCGCAGTAATGCTCTTTCTGTTGAAGATGTGGAGAGAATTGCCTATCAAAGCACTGTACAGCTTATTTTCAGGTATGAATAAAGCCTTTGTAAAGTTCTCATCAATGATTCTAGAGACCTGGGAGAAAACAAGTCGCACTGTTTTACCGACCATTAGTTCTAAAAATGGCAAAATTTCCACTTTAAAATGAATCCGTGAGAATCAATAGAATATGATCAATAGAGCTGTTTCAGATTCAATTGTTAATTATTTTATGAACACCATCAAGTTATCAGAATGTTTGTCTGACAGTAGTGATAATTCAATAGATGAAAATAAGTGAGTTTTGAAATGAGTTTGAATGGTCACACTTTATTTTAATCACACTCTATTATCTCGCTATTAAGAAACCATTAACTACTACTTTTGCCTCAGTATTATTAAAAGTTAGTAAGGTAGTTGGTAGTCAAAAATTGTGTCCCTTAAAACTCCTCTTTGATCATCAAAATGACATATTTAAATGTTTTTTCTTGTGAAAATAATTTTCTCATGCCTTAAAATAGCTTGAATGCAACTCTACACCCTTGCCTCATTTACTATACGCGGATCTATGAATACGCAAATTAGCCCCTCCTCCACTTAGTCATACACCAGCCAGCCATGAGCCAGCGCCTCCCGATCCACTAACTGAACTGTAGTAAACGCGATGCAATGGCAAGTGGAAATATTGGTTTAATTAAGCCATATGTGTTTTAACCAGAAATAAGCTGGTATGCTCAACGTAAGCAAGGAGACTGATGGCTAACTTCGTGAGGTAACATTATCTGTTTGCGCTGGTTCGTACACGGATAATGACTGATAAAACTATGTTTTTACTAGCGGACAACTATGCCCATTTTCCACAAGATGATATGATTCTTTAGGGTCTTAATGAAAAGTCTATAACATACTTTGGTTAAAATTTCTCAATGGTAGTGTAAAACAACACCCTTTTTACCCTGTCAAAAACAGCTGTTTTCAGCAACCCATTTTAGTGCATGTTCCTTTAAATGCTAATGAGTTCTGCTCACCCCGCCCCTCTCTTCAGTGGGGTGAGGAGCAGTTCTCATGATACTGTTTACTTTAGACGCAGAACTTGCTAACTGGCACAGCATTTGGAAAGGTGATTAGCAAAGATTCATAAAAGAACCTTATACTCACTTCTTCTGTAGGTGAGGCTGGTTCATTTCGGTTATTTTTCCTAACCGACAACCGACGCTCGTTAACCGATTATTAACCGTTAACCGACAAGATTATTTTAAATTAGAATTGAATTAAATTAGAAAGGATAAGTGTCTGTGACCCGTTAAAAAATACTAACATTTGTTTCCCGGGGATTAATTTTACATGCGCAAAAGCAGCAAACAACAGAACATGAGGATTCACATGGTCTTCATATCACATCACGCACCTGCAGCGCTTCTGCGAGCAGCGGTCAAAAATTCTTACGGTCGGTTAACGGTTAACCGGTTAAAATGAACATCCCTACTTAGGAGTCATTCTTGTCTACATCTGCTCCGGCGTCGAAACAGTCAATATGTTATTAATAGGCATGCTAATAAGCAACTAGTTAATAGTGAGAATTGGTCCCTATACTAAAGTGTTACCTTTTGAATTCATAATTCAGTAACTCATTGAAGTGAATGCTCGTTTTGTCAATAGTCAGTACGCATTAGCCGTATTAAGTGAAAAAAAATATTTTTGTAGAAAAATGGAAGCATAAATGAATGGTAAAAAAGTTAATACAAAACCATTTATTAAGCATTTATTTTTTGCAGTCCTATAGCCTGTCAGTGATTTATAGTTTTATTTCGTTATATAATGTGATGTATTTTATGTGATTTATGATTTATGAGTACACCTTAGCTCCGATACTTGACAGAATTTGCCCGAGGCTCCTCTGCCCAGTATTTCAGGCTGCGTTCTGCTCTTTCCTCACAGCTTTCCCTCACATTCCTCTCTGATGAAGGAAGGGAAGGGTAATGATTTAATTTAGTGGAATGTGGTGTGATTTATCCTGCTGTTTATCACTCCTTAAGATCGAGTACACATCTTCATTTCCTTATATATATATATATATAGTATTTCTGCTATTTATTTATTTCTGTCATTTGCCTGGATCAACATCTTTTGTTGGTCCTGGAATGATGTTCCTATACGATCATGTGCCAAACTAGGGGTGAGCGATATGGCAAAAAAAAAAATCATAACCAGGGTATCTACAGAATTTTTTAAGTCAAATTATAGACTTTTTATTAAAACCCGCACAAAATAATAATAATCTATACAGAACACTGTCAATACAGAACAAACCCATACAATCTCAAAATAAATAATGAAATTTCAAAATATTTTACTCAATTAAATAGGTTGTGGTACACATTCAATGACTTAGACTTGCCGTTATCCTGTTTTTCCAATATTAAAATACACGTTTTATTAAGTAAATATGTATTAAAATGTATTTATGAACCAATTTGTAAATACATATTTGGGTTACAGATATGGGATTTTGCTGATTTGATAATAACGTGTTTAATGAAAGCCAATAAAATATTATTATGCTGAAACTAGTAAAATCTTTGTACTGAATGTATTAAATAATGTTATTAGTCTTTTCTTCATGTGACGGGGTAGCCCACAGGGAACTTTATGATTATGCAGTACTTTTAATTATAAACAAGCCCGAAGAAGAATGTTAGTAACTAAACAGTTGATGGTAGCCATTGACATCCATAGTCAAAAAAATAAATCAATAAATGAAAATACTATGGAAATCAATAGCTGCTCACGATCACGAAGAAATAAACCCTTACAGACCGACAGAATTTCATTTTGGGTGAACTCTCTCTCTGAGAAATTATAGTTTGGTTGTTTAAATATCACATTTTTTTTCTGTTCTTTTGCCCTTCCATCTTCAGAGAACATGTTCAAGAGCCGACAGAAGAAGAGCTACTAGCTCAACTACAACAACATCCTCATCTGCACCTCTCCTGGTGACCCTAAGCTCGCCCCCCTCACCTCCACCTCACGGGACGCCTTTAATGCATAATTACACCAAAACACCCAGAATCCTCCAGGACTCCATCACGTCTGTGTGAGCCTCATGTTTACATATCCATCCATTTTGGAGGGCCTGTTTCCCATTATAGGATCTGTGTAGCTTCAGGTCGGCCTGGGAAAGGATGTATGTGTTTTTAACAGAGCGTCACAGAGTTAATGTTTGGAGGAACTTCAATTCATAAATAGGCTTTAGCTCAAAACACTCCTGCTGCTGGAGTCCCAGAGTCCTTGTTTAATGCTCAAGACATCCTGTAAATTACAGTAGTGTTTATGATACAGTATCAATACCACAGTTTTTGATTTACCCTATGTCTGGAAGAATTTCATTCTTTGAGTTTGAAAGTCTTTGTTTTTGTGAAAAAATCAAAAACACATTTCCGTTGTGCATTTGACAAAATCCATATTTTTCTTTATTTTTTTAAGCCTGTTACAATCAAACAACAAAACAATCTATAGATTGTTTTAAAAATCATGGAAACAAAGGGACATAACTCATTACTGTTTAAATACTTTTAGCTGTGTTTTTATTGATTTGTAGATTCTATATTTTTGACTGTGCCATTATGTTTGTTCAGTGCTTTTATTTATGTTAGATTTTACTGTATATTTACAGATATCTTTATGGGTGAATCTCTCAAAAACAGTCAAGTAATGTCCAGATCATATTTCACCCACAAAAATTAAAAAAAGGAAAGGAAATTAATTCTCATTACTGTAATCTGAAATAGAATTGAATTAAATCAGTCATTGCATCCTGACAGAAGGATTGAGAAGTGTTTTGTATTACTAAGTAACTTTCTGAATTATTGTCATGTCACAATGCAAGAAAAAAAAAAGAAAAATCTCAATGGTACAAACTAGGTTTCTCTTCATGCAAAATCAAAATTTTTTTTTTTTTGGATTTTGGGTATAATATGATGCCGACTGTTCGTCAGTAAATTTCAGTGACCTTATCAAGTGTTATTATTGGGATATTTTTCATGTTTTCAATATTATCAACAGATGGCGTTTTGCTGCAATCAATACATTTGACTGAATATTGGTATAAATGGTTGAATTACACCACTGTATTGTGTTCTTTCTGTTCTGAGAGCAACTTGATTAAATGTCTCTGTTAAATGTCTTCAGGCAAATCTGGCTTATATCATTACTTTTCTGTAGCATGCTTTACATCAAACCAACTTTAGATGACATTACATATAAGAGGCAAAAAAATATTATTTTAATATTTTGTTTTCATTTTGTTTTTTTTAGATAAAATGTTAGTAATTTTTTTAATTCAGTTTTTGATTCAATTTTTTAAATGTCTATTCAGTTTTACATTTTTATTTCAGTTTTTATTTGAGATATTTTTCTACATCAAGTTAAATGAGATGATATGAGAAATGTTGCATTTATTTTTTGGTAATTTTAGATTTAGTAAAAGTGTAATAACCCCGATAAGAGGACCACACATGTCTATGTGTTTGAGGTCTTGCATAAGTGTCTAATTTCCATTTAGCAAGACCATTTTATAGGCCAGTTGGTGATTATATGGACTTCCTCAGCCTCCAGAAAAGTAGATCAGCACTAACACACACACACACACACACTTTGCATTGATTTAGGGGGCTAAACATACAAACACACCCTCTTACACAGGGCATGTTTTCCCAAAACAGTGCTGTGGTCTGCCTGACCTTGTGTTGAACACACATCAGAGTGACCGTGTTCACTTCATCTTCCAAACAAATACACAGAGTTCCCTTCCACTGTTTGTTTACTTTTTCCTCTAGATGTGTGTTGTAGCTTCAGTGAGGATTTTAGTGAGAAAAGTAATGGATATTTTTTTTCTTTTTCCATGTAATTTGTCACAGTATTTTTTTTTTTTACACAGTTCAATTTTTTTGTCAGATCAAATTTATTTGGGTGAAAAAATACACTACTAGTCAAATGGGGAATAATGGAAATAATGTGTATTTTTAAAATGTTTTTGAAAGTCTCTTATGCCCAACAAGGCTGTGCTTATTTCAGCAAAAATGATGTAAAAACAGTAATATTGCGAAATATTATTACAATTAAAAAACAACAACTTTTCCATATTCATATATTCTAAAATGTAATTGATTCCTGAATTTTAGGCAGCCGTTACTCATGTGACATTTCTGCCACATGATCCTTCATAAATATAATATGCTTATTTGGTAAAAATAATATGCTGATTTGGTGCTCAAGAAACATTTCTTATATATTTTGCATTTAAAATTTTGGGGAAAGTATAATTAATAATATTAACTTTCAACTTTTAATAAGTATTAACTGTTTTCAAAATGTAGAGTAAGAACCATTAATAATAATTGAGCACCAATGAATTGATTATATTTTAGTAACAAATCTGCATATTACAATGATTTCTGAAGTATCATCTGACACTGAAGACTGGAGTAATTGCTGCTGAAAATTCAGCCATCACAGGAATAAATTACATTTTAAAATTTAGTAAAATAGAAAACAGTTCCTTTAAATTGTAATAATATTTCACAATATTGCTGCTTTTGTTGTATTTTTGATAAAATATTATATATTATATAACATTTATTTCAGAAACATTAAACATTTTAATTATTCCAAACTTTTCACAGGTATAGTGTAACTGACAACTTAGCAATGTAAACCATGTAAATTATAGTATTATTTGATCAATTATTAGATTAAGCACTTTTATAATCTGCCAGATGCTTCTGGGCAAGCTGTGTCAGTGGCTAAACAGGTATTGATAAGCATAATTCAAATTCAAGAACTACTGTTACAAAATGTTGAAAATTGCTTTACTACATTCAAATAGTCTGAACATCTAACTGTCTAGCTGTTTGTTTTGCAATTTCTCTTTGCCTATAGAGGACAACTTAAAAAGTGGCACAGCTTACCCCACTCTCCCCTGTATATCATTAAGGTATTTTTGTACCCTGCTTTATTTTACTATTGGCGCTTTTCCACTGCATGGTACGGCACGGTACGGCTCGGTATGGTTCACTTTTGGGGGGTTTTCCACTGGGTACAGTACCTGGTACCTGGTACTTTTTTTAGTACCACCTCGGTTGGGGTTCCAAGCGAACCATACCGTTACCAAAACGTGACGTGAAAACTCTGCTGATCACGGATTGGCCGGAGAGAATACCATGAAAATAGATACTAGTACGGCTTATAGATTAAATGTTACAACGGCTTTCCATACGACACTGCTCCACTGATCATGTGCTGGTTACTCCACTGCACACCTCGGATCACTTCCTCCTTACTCTTAACCTCAACATGGTTCCTGACACAACACATACCCCTACACATGTCACTTTTCGACGTAACCTACGCTCTCTCTCACCCTCCCGGCTATCTGCTATGGTTTCATCTTTGCTTCCTTCCCCTGAACAGTTATCATCTCTTGATGTTAACAGTGCTACTGATACTTTCTGCTCCACTCTTACGTCTTGTTTAGACACTGTCTGCCCCTTGTCTTCCAGGCCAGTTTGTACCACCTCTTCTGCCCCTTGGCTATCTGATGTTCTCTGTGAGTAAGCTCAGAGCTGCAGAAAGAGTATGGCGCAAAGCACAAAATCCTACTGACCTTAATGTATATCGATCACTCCTCTCTTCATACTCTGCTAATGTCTCCACTGCTAAAGGGACATACTATCACAACAAAATTAACAATTCACCTAACTCTCGCATGCTCTTTAAAACATTTTCCTCTCTCCTTTGTCCTCCTCCTCCCCCTTCCTTCATCAACTCTTACAGCTGACGACTTTGCCACATTTTTCATTAATACAATTACAAATCTCAGTGAACAATTTGCCACACCACAAACTGTCAAGCACATCTTACCAGCAAACATACACTAGTTTTCATCCTTCTCTCCACTCTCTGTGGCAGAAGTCTCTAAACTCATCCTTTCCAATCATCCTACTACTTGTCCGCTTGATCCTATTCCATCTCATCTCCTTCAAGCCATTTCTCCTGCCGTTGTACCTGCACTCACTCACATCGTTAACACATTCCTTCACACTGGTGTTTTTCCCTCAACATTTAAACAGGCTCGTATAACCCCACTTCTTAAGAAACCCACTCTTAACCCAACTCTTTTAGAGAACTACAGACCGATTTCCCTTTTACCTTTCATTGCAAAAACACTTGAACAAGTTGTGTTCAACCAAGTCTCACC